TCTCAGAGGTCATAATCATCGGTCAAGAGTATAACTATTCAAAAGCAAGTTTTTGCTTTACTCTAGTTTCCAGTGAGCCATGCTTGACTGTTTCTAATATACGGATATAAAAACCTTTGGATCAGTTAGGTCTGATAGGTGTCACCCACCAGCTTGTAGGTTAGAGGCTGCAAAATATCCTACCATAAGGCTTGAACTTATGTAAACAGAGGTAGCAAGTGAATTAACAAACAACTTCCGACTATTTTCAGAGGTTTAGTTGTTTGGCATGCACCAATAAAGTCGCCTTGTTCGTAAAACCACTTAAAATGCTTTCGGGCACGTTTGAATACACGTTCGGACAACAGCAAAATGGAAAGCTTACTTTGTTCTAAACGCAACTATTATGCACATTAAAGCTATGTATATATGTGATGCCCAACAGTGCATTCGCAATCTAGACGTCTGCACTTCCGGATGGGTCACACTGAATGTATAACAGTCGGCCGTATTTTAGACCCAGCTAAATAGAACCACTAACTGGTAACCTAGTACATCAGCCGACAACCACTTCTGTTTTTCTGTTTTTCTACTGTTTGATAGTGTGGATCCATTCCTTTTACTGAAATAATTTGCTTCTAGTCACCTAGAAATAAAAGTAGCCTTGAATCTTTAGCTTTATACATAGGGCTTTCTGTTGTTACCAGAATAAAAAATAATAACTGCGGGATTCGTAGAAGTTTACCCAGATGAGTCTCTCTCCAAGGACTGTGTTCTGATACGAGTATTATGGTTAATTACAGAAAGAGGAAAACAATCTGACGCCACTTAAGCTATCGGTGAATCTTTTGGCAATTTATTTTTATAGCCGCAACGACCTTGCTTCTCTGATAGCCCGAATTGTGAATATGTTGCTATTCCACTACAGTTGCGCCCTTAGTTCACTTGGATTGTCATGTTCGAAGGGGGTATGTTTTAAAGGTAGCATTTTCCAAATCATGCATCTATTTATTCTCAGTGTGTAGCCACGTAAGTTTTATGAGGTTCACTTTCAAATCCAATTCAAGTTCACGGTTCAGCTCGAATTCCCCATAATTTGTTCATGTGTTGCTAAGTTGCTCTTAATAGTTCCACTGCTAAGCAGATTTTGCTGAATAATATAAAACTGTATAAAGCTTCTTTGGATAGTCTTATAGAATACAAATACTTGCCGGAACAAATGCAAGCTGTTCACCTAGTATGCAGACGTCATTCATCTAAAATGTAGCGGTCACGTCAGTTGGAACAAGCCCGATGGGGGATTTTGGGACTAAATACTGGGGAAGAATGTCTAAGTATCATGACTCTAGATAAACTAACGCATGTCCAATTCTGTGAAAAATCTACAGCAGTTTTCACATCAGCACGTAATCATAGGATCTTATCCATAGTGCCCCTAGTATCCCAGTGTCCCAGACAAACGCCGTAAACGCTCCAACTATTTGAGGAACAAACCACACAGCCACGGCTAAACTTTAGATCACTGGGTTGAATAGCTACGTCTAAATTGTGCGTGGGTATATTATACACTAAGTTACACCTGTCCTTTTGGCTGTATGCATACCTTCCTCTCTCCAAAATCCGTATAACACTATAAGCCGCACATGGCACTTTGTGCCAGTAAATCCAGCCACCTTACCGGATCGTAGTTCGCAGTCAGCCTCTACTCACGCCGGTGAATTTTCCAGTCAGTGTAGAGCTAAATCCGTCTTGGTAGGAATATTTGCAAACAATTAGTGCGGTGAAAATGTCGAAAAATATTTGGCAGCTTATGGTCTCAATAAGCAACAAACAAACTGTCCAAAAAGAACCATACTTTGAGCAGGTGTGGTGGACAAATATTTAAGAATATCAAAGCAGATACAAAACATAACAGGTTCGGTTAAACTTGAAAATACAGAGTCTAAGTATGCGCATCATGAACAGAAAGACAAGCAGTGACAAAGAGCATGATAAGACTTGTGCATCTTGGAAGACTGTATTTGTAGGTGGTAAATATCTAAGAAAATAACGCACTAAGATTCAAGGTGAAAAAACTAGCAAGGACTTTATTGTGTAGGGTGAGGACCTTGCGAGCCTTTCAGGCACAATGAAATCAACCATGAAGAACAGTTAGACACCTTCCCACACCTCAGTTTATCCCGATACAACCTGACGCTCGGCAGCAATCTGGCCTTCATTGGAAAAATGTGATCAGATGCCATGAAGATAAACCGTTTCAAAACGGTGTTTACACGGTTTCATCGAGGTGTGCAGTGCTTTTCAAGCTAAGGGAGGTCCCTAATGTCAGGTTTGTCTAGTCCCTGCCGGTGTCAAATTTACATACCTTTGACATGAAATTCCAGCAACAGGAACCATTGAGTTTACGTCTTCTACAAGTCATCGGGTTGGGCTAAAGCCACCTGTAAATTTGAAAAATGCTGAAATCCAAGCAGCTAGTTTACGCTACAGAGCACTAAAAATTCCATAGACCAGATGATTTAGAATGTGGGGGTTTACTGGTCTAGGTTTTCAAAGGACGGTTTTCAATAAATAGTCTCTTTTCAAAACTTTTCATAGAAAAATAGTCGATTGTTTGGGAACCAAACCGGAATTTACACGTTCGCATTTTCTCATAATATTGTCCGTCTATCTGGGGAATAGCCAAATAAAACAAAAAGAAAGTTAGTGGAAACTATAGGATGAATCTTAGATCCAGCCTTCAAAGATGCACGCACATTAGAGATTGGATTGCATATACTTTTAGTGGTAAGATTCTCCGAAAGAGTGGGGCACTGAGGCAGTATGAATTAAACTGCTGTGAGTAGCTCTTGACGTTTGCTTGAAACACAAAAACAACTAGTAAAACCAGACTGATATAACTGAACTACCTTTATCTTGAGTATTTTTCAAACAATTCAGCGCAGAGGAGGGCATTCTTGTAATATCTGTCTTCATAAACTTAAAGGACGTACCAAACCACTTTCGATATCTGTAAATATTTCTATTGAAAAAACAAAATGCATCACTTTCTCCACAAAGTCTTTTTTAGTGGTGCTTAACTGCAGTCGATTAGGTTGCGCAATCGCAACGGTACCACAATTTAAAATAATGGAACGGCCACTATTTCGGTTGAGCAACTTTAAAAACAAAATTTCTGACGTCCTTAGATTAGCTTGAAGACTTATATATAGTATATTTCTGACAAAATAAATAGCACAGCGCTTCTTTGAGAACTCGAGGTTAAAAGGGTTCGACCGTTTGGTCCCTTTTACTTTGAAAAATAATTTAGCTGGATATCACAGAAGGCACTCCAGTGTTTCTTTTTCTATTTTTACATCGGAATGATGCAAGAAGTTGGAACCAAGTAAGTGAAGCGTCACATCGAGGAAAACAGGACACTTGTTGAAAGCAATCTATTCATTAATAGCATAAAACCGCTGAGGGTCTATCTCTCAGCACTAGTTGTACAATAAAGCGTGAATCTAAACGTTCCTTAGAAAGTACTAAATAATTCGGAACGTAATGCAAAAGTTCAGGAATCGCTTAATCGGTATATCCTGAATGCCATTTGTGTGTTTCTGTGCACACTATCCTACCAAGAGCGTTTAGATGGCCGTCGAATACGACATAAAAGATTCACTTCTAACAAACATTAATCTGATGGAATGTACATTGCACCATTTTGAATTATATAAAAAGTGCATTGCCTCCTCATTTGATCGAGGAAAACGTTCAATCTCTGACCATAGCGGGAAGAATTTTTATCAGTTTAGATCAGAACAACATCCGTTATCCAATGGCTTCAAAAAGTAAATCTGAAGCCGAAAGAAAAATGAACAGTAGGTTTAAGGATTCATGTGGTATGCCCTTTACTCTGGGTAGCACCGATAACATCTTAGAGTTTTACGACACTTGTGTGCTCTTATCACATACTTAAGAAGCAATTTTTACAATACAAAAATCTGATCGATCTGTCAGTCTGGAAGCACTGATTTTGGTAGAATTGGTTTAGCAGAGAATCTGGCTAGATACATGGGAAGGACGGTCAGGTGGTTGGAGATAAACACAGACCAACAAAAGTGCCATTCTTAATCCTTACATCTGGAAGTTGACTTTAACTCGGGCATTCCTCTCCACGCAATCTGTCAAGTTAACACATACACCAGTCGTATCCGGGGGAGTTAGAATTTGGATTGTAAGAGTTTTCAGGTTTTTGGGTTTCTCAATCATGGGAACGGGTTCTTTCTGTCATCCATTGATATGATTCGACGATACACTAACCATGGTGGGCATGAGGCAGAGAATTGAATAATGGTACAAGTGAAACCTGTAGGGACGGCAACCATTTGACACATCCATCGACGGATTATCCACAGCAGTTGGTACGCAAGCAGCTTCTCTGGATGCTACCATGAGCGAAAAACGAGCAGGTTTAAAATATATTTATGTTGCACATTCAAACTAGTCATCCCAAAAAACGAGTGCCCCACGAAACTGTTTGTTGCATATATTCAACAGGGTTGAAAATGTTTTGACAAACTCTAGCCTTGGGTACCCAAAATTTTAGGAATATAAAATCATACCCTTTGTCCATAAAGCTTCCAATTACATTTCACGTAGTAGTCAAGATCTTCCATGGGAAACAGATTGACTCAGGTCCGGACTGACCGGTTATCAGATAGCTTCCAGACTGTCTACTCACAAAATGTTCATGATTGGAGACGAGAGGATTCACTGGAATCAGCCAAACTTCTTACACAATTTCAGTCTCAAGCCTGTGAAATATTCAGTTAGTTATTCTCCCAGTGCTTCTCAAACCTTACTCTGATTTTCGTATGCCTGACAGTGAAGGCCTTTGTCGGCCCGACGCGTGCAAATGGGGATACGGTTCTTCATGCAGTACGATAGATATTTAGGTGAGAAAACCTATTAGGACTTCCCAAAAACAAGTCGCATACATAAGTTGAATAGTTTATCCCAAACATGCGTGCCAAACACACCTGGGCCACCCATTTGCCATTGAATATAATCCAAAAGGCCTGATAATCAGAAGAAATAAATTCAGTTGCCAAAAGAATCATTACAGCCGGATCTTTGATTATACCGCTTAGATATGCTGGAAATTTTCTTAGCGCGCTTTGATTATACAAACGTCACTGAGACTTCAATAATATTTGATGACAAATTCTGCTCACCATATCTGACGTAACTCAAGGCAAAAATAGTACAGATTTGCGTAAATGGTTGATTTAAAACGTTTATCATTGCAAATGTCAGTTGATTAGAACATTTAAACCACCAAGATACGGCACCATCTTAATAAGCAACAGATGTGGTGACATATGGTAAGTATTATGTAAAACGTCTCTGTACTTTCAACGAAATTATCGCCATTATGTTTCCAAGATTTGGCTTAGCATCTGTACACAAATTTCATTCTCAATTTTATAGAAAAGGATTCAGCTTGAGCCCCTCTCTTCGTATACTTTTTTAAACCTGTGTAAACAAGCCTGATCAATTATCACTCAGGTGTGCTCAATTGACACCTCCCTCCAAAGGTTACTCCATAGGCTGATTCATCGTGTGGATCTCCGATTTTCAAAAATGAGTGAGAATAAGAAACGAACCGAGGGAGAGCGAGAAGGAAAGAATGTGATATTTAAATTCATTCAGTTTTGACAATCACTTCTTCGGTTGGCTCACATTACAGTGTGTGAAGGGACCTAATGTTTGCGTACAAATATAAGCAACGCTAATGATACGAACTCTACAAATCCTATAATTACATACAAGTGCAAAATGTCTGTCCTTTTGAGTTGTTTCATTTGAAAGCAAGCGGCGAAATGGTTTTGTCCAGTAAAATACATACCTTGGTTTCCCCCCTTGAATGATTTTCCGACCATTATGACTATGGTATCTATGTCTAAAGTGTATTTGCTGACTAGATGCATAGTACCTGTTTTGTACGTTACCCCTAAATAACCCTAGATCTGTTCAGCGTCTGTTGTGATGTAATTTACGTTCCCATTTTGTGTTAGGTGTGCGTGCATAGACTACTCATAAGCTAATGTGTTTCATGCATCCAGCTACTAAAACCCTGCTTCTGCCTTCCGGCCTATCCATTATTTCACCCTTGTTTCTATTTTGTTTGCATTTGGAACTTAAAATATTTGCTACCCAATGAAAAAATAGAAAATGACAGAAAATGCTGGGCTAAAGTTCGCAATTTATCTTTTGCACTGCTGACAATGCAGAAAGCTAGGAATCACAGAAGTGACAGTGAGCAAAATCAAACTTACACTCTGAACTTATTTACAGCTTCACTCAAGGTTTTAGGCCGGAACCAGTCCGTGTCTTCCAGCTGTGTGGTTGGGAGTTGAGGCTATGCAACTTAAACAAACACCAATATTCTGGCTCACATAGTATTTGTGAGTACAAGTGAGTGCAATTCACAGTACTTTCGGTACTTTTAACTATCAGGTTTCCTTAATGAGGATGAATGTAGATGTTAAATACAACAACTGTATTTTAATTTTTTTTTCAAAACATGATCCACACACATACAGTCCGACTTAATCTATAACGCTTTTGACCTGGATGGCGAGAGTACCATGGAATGGCTACAGTCTACTAGTCTAATGAAATTTTCTTGGTTTTCAGTTATGACGGTTATGCCCGACTCATCGCTAGACCATATTTAAGAAAGCAACTGAGGTTTAGCCCTGACTGTGTGCCATCGCACGCCGTGATTCCGTCCCGATGTTTGCCTGTTAGGATCCTTTTAGGTTTATTCAACAGTTCAAAGAATCTTGGAGTCAACCAAGTCAGAGATCTGCTTACTTGAAAGGTCTTTCTGTTATTTCCAGTGAGTATGTGATAGGACTCGAAATTTTTGGAAAGATGCAGATAAAGCCACTCCGCTTTTGAACTAGATGCACAAATTTTCTAACCTCCCATTGTAGTTTTTTCTATGCTGCCGTAATTCTGACAACGACGTATTTTTCTCAAATGATTCCTCCTTGAACTTCTGCTTTGTCCACTTTCTTGTATTTGCTAATCAATATATTTACAGCGTTTACTTCACTTTCGAGAATTTTGGCCTTCATTCAAGTTTTTCTAGTCCTTATGTTTGCGACATGTGAACTCGACGTGACCCAACAGCGATCAGTGCGCAAGCCGGTATGATGTTGCCGCGCTGAGCTACAACACGATTAATCTACCTAAGAGTGTGATCGCAATGGAGCAGCAAATCTGTGATGTACCGAGGAAAGAAGCCAAGTTTCACGACTACCGACTAACATCACAAAGGCAACCTGAATATGTATAGTGCAATATCTCGTCGTATCCATGTATAGCAGCTTCAACAGTTAGTTTACACGGTTCATACGTGAACCGTGACTTGCAAGTCACAAGTGGAGTGTAGTGAACGGCACGATTGTGGTAACCTGAAGATAACGGTACGTTGTCTTTGGGGGACTACTCAAAGTAAGAAAAGTGAAGACCAGTTGTTCGGCATTCTCAGTCTTTTTGGACAGGAGCTACTTCGGGAATAGTTTGAGTTGAGGTTTCTTTATCCTCACGAGGACAAACAATGCAGAGAGTCTTATCTAGCTTGTATGCACTGTAAAAAAACAAAGTAAATGTTTAGTTGTGTGAACCCTAAACTCGTGGCGGGAAAATTTGGATTTAGGGAACAGCTATCCAACAACATTGGATTTCAAGCCTACTTAGTCGATTGTAGGGTAATCATTACATTCAAGTCGGAAGTATGGTTTAAAATGTTGGCAAATGTAATACCGTACAGTATATCCAGCTATTCAGTCTTTTAACAAATCCTCATGAACGTGTTTTCTCCTTTCGCCTCGTATATGGCCCCTTTGCGTTGAACTAAGTAATGTAAAATTCCAACCCACATATTTTGCGTGACATATTCAGGCCAGGACTAAATACGTAGCCAAAGGTACTTTTCACAAGTGTTTCTCGGGCATCCAAAACCAGTGACTGTGAAGTTATCACATCATAATCGTAGACAAGGAAATTTCTCAAAAAGCTTCATGGACTATTTACCAGTAGTTTGATTGCTAAGGCTAAACTAGTTGAATCAGCTACATTTCAATATGTCTTACATAGTGTTGAGTTTACATATTGCCCAGCCTTGAACTTCGGCTGGTGATATTTCAATTTAAACCTAAAGCCACCGGTCATGCGGTGCTTAACTGATGGGTACCTATCCATAAAAGATGCACAGCAAATATTTCCTGCCAACAAAAAAGACCTCAGCTTTTTCAAATCGCTGTATCTGGTTTCGGCTTTTCTTGATTAAATGTAAAAAAATTAGGTGACTTGTGTGCAGGGGATTCAGTTCAACGTGGAAAATAAATGCTGACTAAATTAATTAATCGAAATATTCGAATGAGTAAACTAGTGCATTCACTGTTTATGTGAATTTGATAATAGCATAATCTTATTCGGGCCATGTAGTTAAATTACACGCTTATCCTGGCTACCCGTTGGATTTTCTCTTGAAGTCTTTTACTAGTATGAATGTCGTATTTAGTCTGAATAATACAGCGTTTACTATATAGTCCATTCACGATTGCGACTTGTGTTAACAACGAGCCGACCTACTCTGGAGAGAGAAAATGCAGTTCCCAGTTCGTTCTTTAGGCGTGCGCTAAACCAAAAAATTAATATTCTGATTTGTCAGAGCTCAGTTAAAACGTTCGCGTGAAGGGACAAAGGTGAGCATATTAGCACGTTCAGTACAGACATTTGTTGAAAACGAGGAGGGATGCCTATTATATAGATTCTTGAAAATTCCGACAATAGTTTCATTGTTTTTTCAGAATGTCACTGTCAAATTCTTGAAGTTATGGAAGCCGTTCGCCGACTTACAATTTGTCGAAGTTCTGGCGGAGCTTTTTTACTACACAAAAATGTAGATGACTGACGTTTCGTTGCCGAATGTGACAAAATAATGAAAGGAAAAGCCGACGGACTTGACTTTGCAAAACCGTTTTTCTACCAACGAGCAGGTGAACAAAGTTGAACGTTCGCTTTTCCGACAAACACCACGTATATTTCTTATGTTGCATAAATATGTCAATTCAGCGAATGAAGCTACATTATTTTATAGTAGAGGAGGAAGCAAATACCTTAGTGACTCGTGGCAAAAATTGTTGGGTAGGCAATTCGTGAATTTCGTTCTTGGTGACTATTGGTGAATTTGTTTCAAGAATTGGGTTAAATTGATTAGGCCGAAGTGGATTAACTCCTTACGACCAAACATTAGTCTTACAAATAACAGATGAGGGCTATGAGGAAAAAAGCCCAAAGCGGATTTTTTGAAAGTAAAGCCTTTGGCATACGAAAGCATTCACAACTTCACCAAAACCTCATCCAAAACGGTAGGAACTTGAAAAAAATCTTCTCTGCTTCCCCGAAGCTTAAAAACATGATTATTATCAAGTGCAGTGTACTCAACAGATTCGTCAAAGTGGATGATGATTTTTCGGACACAAGTTTTGTCCGCGTTTGTTTTCTTTCGCCGTTTTTTCTCACAGGCAGAGTATCCACTGGCTATTCTTGAATATGAACACCTTTAGCTGAGCGGTTTGTGCCAGCGACAGACAAAGGCCATTATGATGGAATTTGGGATGCTCAGTAGACCATAAAATACGCATTCCGATTCCCGATGGCTGAGGTTCCATCTTAAATTACTTCCGTTTAGGTGACTTCAGGTTGACGGCCATTTTAGGGATTTGCGTTTATGTTAAACCTTAGCCAAGGTTTCTCGAGAAAGTATAGTTTCACGTATAGATGTTTTATTTTTGGATATAATGAGGCTATCCTTAGTTAAGTTATGACAACAGAAATCCCTCCTAAACTTCATTCTGACCATTAGCAAGAAATACTCGGGCAGAAGCACCAGAATGTGTAACCCAGGTATATGTTGGCTTTGAGACTGGGTATATGAGCAGTATATATAAGCAATGCTTTCATAAAGGAGAAGGTCTCCCTAAGTGTAAGCCGGTGTCTC